GGGGGGGGGGGCAGTGCCAGCAGTTCGAGTTCATTTATTGTTGGACATATTTTTGCTCCGGGGGGGCACTTGGCTTTCCCGGGGGGGGGGGGCACTGCCCCCCCCCGAGATATAGCTGAAAGAAACCCTGCTACCACTACGTCACGTTACGTCATTACAAATACGCTCAGAAACCGATCAAATATTTCACCTCTCCCACCAAGTGGGTCAAGTCCTGGGGGGAAAGGTGTGGGGATCCCAAACCCAGGAACCCGACCCACCCATTCCACCCACCTCAACCCCCGTAAAATACAAATGTCTTCATTTCTTGGCAAGTACATTGCAACATTGTGAACAGTTCAGAATCAAGTATTCGGGACCAGCAGGCACAGTGGCGTAGAAAGAAGAGAAGAAGAAAAAAAAAAAGTTGGGGTTGGATGCGAAGGATTTAATTTGTACATTTGTCAAGATTCTTTATTAAGTGATACTATAATACTTCAAATGTTTCCCCTTTAACAAAAATTCATTGTGTTTGTGTCTCTATGATGCGGTACATTTTTGACCCAACTGCAGAGTTGTTTTTTCGCGGTGGGGCGTGGCAAACACCCAGTCATCCCCCCTAACTACGCCACTGCAAGTGAAAACAAAATACTTTCCACAACTTTCGTTTCTCTCTCTCTCGCCCTCTCTCTCTCTCTCTCTCTCCGCCCCGCCCCCTCCCCCATTTTTCTTTCTTTCTCCGGTTGTAATTTCCCCTACTCCATTTTCTTTTCCCCTTTGCACATCGAGTTTCCCGATTTGGGTCAAAACGTCCTCTAAATAGAATTTCCCCAAGGTCGAGTAACCCATGAAAATGAAAAATGTAACATTCGTGAATCTTCTTGAAAAAAAAAGTTATGTTGAAAAATATAATGAAAGGAATTTTCTAAAAGACTGGACAAATTTAGAATGGACATTGGTAGTCTGGACCTTTGTTGAATGGACATTTGTAGATTTGACATAGTTAGAATGGATGTAGGTGGTAAACTCAACATAGGTAGACTGGACTTTGGTGGAATGGATGTAAGAAGACTGGACATTTGTGGACTGGACGTTAGTAGACTGGCCATTAGTGGAATAGATAGTGGTAGAATAGAGATTGGTAGAATGGATATTGGAATAATGGACATTAGTAGCATGGACAGTGGTAGAATGAACAGTGGTAGGCAGGTTGTAAAATAAAAGCTAGTTTAAATGATGTGATAAAAGTATTAAAATTTTCATTAAGAAACATGTTTTGTCAGAATAAGATCTAGATGCGGTCAATGTTTAACAAAGTCGTGACTTTAAGAGCTCACTGACATACTGAAACGGTCACTTCAATGAAGTACCGAAACAGTCACAACATTAATCTGTCACCGAATCTGTCATGTCATTAAAATACTGAAACTGTCACTCAGAGAAATACTGAAACGGTCACATCCTTAAAATGCTAAAACTGTCACTCAGAGAAATATTGAAACTGTCAAATCATTGAAATAATGAAATAGTCACATCAAGAAGATAATGAAACTGTCACTTCAATGAAATACTGAAACTGTCACATCATCGAAATACTGAAACTGTCACTCAGAGAAATACTGAAACTGTCTCATCATTGAATACTGAAACTGTCACTAAGAGAAATACACATCATAGAAATACTCAAACTGTTACCTAAAGAAATTCTGAAACGTTCACACCCTTGAAAATACTGAAACTGTCACAGCTTTCTTCGTAGTGTAAATAATTGTCACATCGGTTTGAAAATACGCTTTACAAATGCAACAATCATAGCTGGACCAGACCTCACGTACAGTACTCTTGAAAGTTGTAATAAAAAGTGCTCTTCAGTGCGGAATTAAATATAACCTTTATTTACTAAACATGCCTTGTTTCAGGTCATGGTGACCCAGGCAGTCAACCTGTAAAGATAGTGGGGGGAGGGGGTAATAAGATATTTAGTTTTATGGGGTTTCGACGACCAAAATATAATGCCTGTTACATAAACTAATTTTAAAGTGGCACATTGCTGATGTGTAAAATCATGACTGTTAAACATACATACATTTATATATATATATATATGTGTGTGTGTGTGTATTATATATATATGTATATAAATTATGATTATTATGAACTCCAGCTCTGCTACGAGTTCCGGCAAAATTAAATAAAAATATTTATGCTGAGTCTGCCCCATTAATCTGCAGATAACCGTGATTAATCCAAAAAGCAGGTCATTTTTTTCCGATTTATTAGTCATCTGCCCTTCATTATAAGTTAGTCACGTGGTTCTCTTCCTTCCCCCCCCCCCCTAATTTTTAAACTTTTAATACCATTAATTGTAATTCAAATGGCTGCAATTACTTAAAAGTAGGTCCTTTTTTTCCGATTTATTTGTCATCTGCCCTTCATTATAAGTTAATCACGTGGTTCTCTTCCTTCCCCCCCCCCCCTAATGTTTAAACTATTAATATCATTAATGTGAATTCAAATGGCTGCAATGACTTAAAATATCATGCATTCCAAGGATAAAGATTATTATTTTTTATCTGAGAATGGTGGGTGGAGGTGGTTAAGAGAGAGAGAGAGGGCGGGGGTAAGTTTTTATAGAAATGTTGTCATTCACCAATCTTATAAACCCGGCAATAGAAATGCTTGCACCAGCAACATAGCTGGTAGAAAAGTGAAGCGATATAATTGTTTTACATTGATTTATTAAGATTTTTGGAACTTGGGGCAGCATAGAAATTTTACTAGCTTCAGCTCCGCTCCAGATCCATCCAAAAAGACCCTACTCCAGAGCTCCGAGCTCAGTTCCAAATCCTTCAATCAAATTTTAATATTTTACTGTTAAGGAGCTTTTGTGGGGAAAGGGTGAGGGCAGGGGATCGGCGCCTGTCCGCGAGCCCGACATTGGCGGTCCACACAACATTAGTCACAAGATTATTCACGAAACGGGAAATAGTTACATGTTTGAGTCTCGTCTCCAAGCGAAAGCAAAAAGGGGAAAGGTTTTATGAAGATATTTGAATAGCGAAGGGAGCTTAATGAATTTTCGAACGAAAGAAAAACAACAAAATATTGGTCAGGACTCTTTAGATATGTGGATTTGATGGCAAAGCTGTCTTGCTTTGCAGATACCTTTGCCAGTTTAAATGATGTCAATACCTGGTGATGAAAGTTATTCTCCCATTTCCTCCAACTTCTTCCATACGTAACTGTTCTTTCCGTTCATGAGCATTTCTAATTAAGAAAAATGACAGCATCAGAATCGATATTCGATTCTCCTCTTGCGTTGAGCACTGTGTACAACCGAGCCACGATTTGACGTGTTT